AGATAGATAGATAGATAGATAGATAGATAGATAGATAGATAGATAGATAGATAGATAGATAGATATAGATGTAGATATAGTTGCTAATCTGCAGCAGTGGGAGGAATTTCCACACCAATAAAAATCACACACACAGACACAAAAGGTCAAAGTTAATTTTGATACGTTTTCTTAGAAAAAATGTATCAACATCAGCTAACGGTTGTGTGAGCTGTTGTTACACAGCACATATTCAAAGACTTTTTTTTAACGTCAATCACAAAAAATGCAAGGATATTTGGACCAGCCCTCCCAACTTCTGTGCTTTAATAATATTTCCTTAACAGCTTAATTGAATGCTCAGTACTTACATTTGTTAGCCTTTAACTTTCTTTCATCTACTTGAGGAAGATCCACGTAGTCCATATAGTATTCGTAGCCATAGTATGAGTTAGAGTTAGTAGAGTTAGTTCTGTTTGCCATTTCAGCTATGCTTCCAGAGTGCTGGGAGAGAGGAGCAGGTCCCTTTTATGCGGAGCTGGCTACGCTCACTGGCTTTGGACATTGCATAATTGATTTCTGGGTAAATAATTCCAGCTATGTCTTTGGGTCTCCAGGCTCTGCAGGCTCAAGGACTGACTCCACAGCTGAGTAATTCAGCAAGAATAAATTGGCTAGAATTGATGCCTTTCAAATGGTGCAGCAAAAAAACCCCCAAGAACAACAACAACAAAAAAAAAAAACCTTGGAGTCAAAGGACCTAGGTTCAAGTAGCACTTCTGTCTTACACTATCTGTGTAACTTTTAACTTCTCTGGGTCTCAGTTTATTCATCTGTAAAATGGGGGATTGAAGCAGAGAGCCTTTGAAGTTTCTCAGATCTAAAACTATGATTATTTATATTTACACACACACACACATACACACACACACACACACACACACACCTTGACTTTAGGCAACTAAGCCTATAAAATGCAGAAAAGCTGTTGAACTGCATTGGTAGAATTTTCTCAAGGAGGCATTCCTTATAGCAACAAAATATGCAGCTAGGTGGTGTAGTCAATAGAAAGCTGGACCTGTAGTTAGGAAGACCTGAATACAAATCTGGCCTCAGACAATGTTAGTTGTGTGACTCTAGGTGGTGCAGTGGATAGAGTGCCAGGCCTGGAGTCAGGAAGACCTGAGTTCAAATCTGGCCTCAGACACTTTGACACTACCTGTGTGACCCTAAGCAAGTTCCTTAACTTTGTTTACCTCAGTTTCCTTACCTGTAAAATGAGATGGAGAAGGAAATGACAAACTGCCTCAGTATCTTTGTCAAGAAAATGGGCCATGAAGAATCAAACACAACTGAAAACTACTGAACAACGACAACAACAAGGCAAGTCATTTAAGATCTATCAACCTCAGTTTCCTCATCTGTAAAACAGGCATAATAATAGCACTTACCTCTCAGAGTTGTTGTGAGGATAAAATGGCGTAATATTTGTAAAAACTTTATATAAATGCTAACTAATATTGTTAAATCACAGGTCCAATCCTTATCTCTAGCAAAGCACTGTGGTAGGTGATCAAGTTACTAAGACAAAATGAAAAATAGTCTCTCCATACAGAGAGATAAGGATATGTCAATATCCTTAAGGAAAAGAGATAAGGATATGTCAATATCCTTAAGGAAAAGAGATAAGGATATGTCAATCTCAGGCTTATATTGAGGTAATATGTTGGTACCATTAAACAATGGTGACTCACTGGTAGGGGATCTATGTTTGGGGACAGTAGTCCAGTGCTGTCTGTCCAGAACTTGGTAATCCCTTATAGGCACACACATCTAACATTAAAATGAAAAAAATAAAACAAAACATGCCTCCCAAGAAAATATGGTACTCTCCTCCCATTTTATCTGAATCTCAAAAGGATCACATGGTATATTGCATTTGTCAGAGTTAAAGATGGCTGTTTATTTAGGCTGTGTTCCCAGACTATATCATGCTTTTGAGAGACAGGAGCCTATGATAGTTTACTGAACTCTTTGCTGATGTAATGTGTGATGAGGATACTTTTGAGTTTCTGTCTTGCGTGACACCACATTGTGTACTATATCTTCCTAAGGGTAGGACTTGAATAGGTTGGGACTTGGTAGAAGCTTGGATAGGATCCAAATCTTTTTATTTTTGCAAATACTTGGAATAAACTTGCTCAAATGTAGATGATTCTTGGAATTATCTATGGAAAACAAATAAGAAGTTAGAATCTAAAAATAGAAGATGGCCTACTGAATATTCTGCCTATGAAGGCATAGGTTTGGGTCTACACAACTGGAGTAAAGCAGAGTTTGGGACATATGTAGACAGCCAATGTACTCCCTTGCTCAACTCTTATGTTTGTGTTGATTATACAGATAAAATTCTTATTCTATAAAATTCAATTAAGAAAATTCTTCACAGTTACATACAGTCATTGCTGAACTAATTGAGTTTGTGGGAGAGATATTATTTTCTATGTAGTGCATTTTCTGGGTTATCTCCCCCTCCTAACTTGCATTCATGGGTTAGTTCTCCCCAGGGATAACTACCCCCAAATTCTAGGTATTCTATGGGTCCACACTCCTAAAACTAGAGCTTGCAAGTCCCAATCAGTGCATTCATCTTTGACACAATCAGATCAAAGTAAAGCCATCTACATCTATAGAAATGGCATAGCATGGACAATTGTAAAAGAAAGAAATTTCTCATCCCTATAAACCTGGGGGATATTACCCCACAAATCTTTCCTATATTCATGGGAAGAGTGGGCATACACACAGAATACACTAATAGAGAGGCATACATTTAGGGAACATATATGCCCAAGGCACTATTGAAAGTGGATTTTTTGAGGATTCTCAGAAGAACATGACAGGACAAAACAAAACAAAACAAACAAACAAAAACCCTTTAATACTATAGTAGAAGAGAATTGTCCAGAATTTCTAAACAGAGACAATGAAATATCAATTCAAAGAATTCACAGATCACCCCTGGGAAAAATAAAACCCCAAAACAAACCAAAAGCAAGGTTACTAACTCCAAGACACAGTGTAGTTATATTTAACAATTCAATTCAGAAACAAGTTCAGCAAGTCATCAAAAGAAAGACCTTCAAATACAAAGGATAGGATATTAAAATAAACAACCTACTAGAAAAAGGTGGAAGGAATAGAATACTGTGTTCCCCGGAACACTGGCGCTCAGGACGCAGCCAAGGATGACCTATACTACTAATCTGAGCTTAACCACACAGATGGACATTCAATAATAAAGTGTTTGAAACATTTTTAGAGGGAAAACCAGAACTGAAGAGATTGTTTGCTTCTCTAACACTCTAAACAATAGAAATGCAGGAGGAGTGAATAAATGCAGCAGGTATGGACAGCAGCAGCAGCAACAGAATGACAACAGAAAGACCAGTATTAGACTTTCTAAATGTACACAAGAAGACAGGATTGAAAGTGGAAATCTGGTAGAGGTAACCATGAAGAGGTGGATGAGGGCATTATGAACAGAGCCTGGAGACCCCCTACCTACAGATGAATGCTTCTTTTGTGGGTCTACATTACAATAGGAGAGGGGAACATAAAAAGGAAGAGGGGAGAAAGGGAATAGAAAAGAGTGAGTGATGCACCAGAGTCAAATCAAGACCTTGAAATGAGGGGAAGGTCTTTCTGGTTTTAGAAACAGAACAGGGGAGTTCACTACAGGGAAATGAGGAAGGGTGAGGAAGAGGAGAAAAAGATTGAAAAAAAGGGGGAAAAGAAGTAGGCCTTACTTTGGAGGTGGAAGAGGTTTCATTGAACAATACTCTTACGTGTGAAGGACGATGAGGGCCTTGCAATGGATGATGACGCCTGGTGGACTTGGTGTCCGAAAAGTCTACTTGTCCTGGGAAGCAAGGATTTGTAACTCTTGGGGGGCATTTGGCACTTGGAGGTGTAGGAGAACATGGACACATGGAGGAAGTTTCCAGGCAAATGTAGGGGGGAAAGATCAACAATGAGAGTATAGATCAAGGCAGGCAAGGAGGTAGAAGTGGGAGAAGTGCCTTATCATGGGATGGCATTCTCTCTCTAACACATGCAATAATTGGCAATGTTTTGAGAGTGAGACACAATGGAAAAGAAGAATCCATGAGATAAGCCCTACTAGGTAGCAGAGCCTAGCACAGATACCTTGGAAACCTTGATTGCATGAAAAATATAGAGAAAAGAGAGACCAGATGATTACAGGAGTCATGAATCAGAAAATGTCAGTCTAGAGTCAACAGAAAGAGAAGACAGATAATGAAGAGAACGAGAGAAATTCTTCTTGGAAAGGAGTGTAAAAATGAAAATTAAAAACTAATGAACAGGATTAGCTGAATGGGAGAAAAGGGAAGGGGAATCTACTTGACTAACTGAGAGGAAAGAAGAAGGGAAAGAAATATACATATAACCAGATAAAAGCAGAGGAAAGGAAAAATTCTAAAAGGAAAGGGTTAACAAACAAGAAGAGCGGATAAGGTGAGGGGAAGAGAGCCAGTGGGAAGAGGGCCACCAAAAAAAAAAAAAGATTAAAGCAAAATAATTGTAGGAACATAATACTTTGTTTACATCAGAAAGGGGGAAATCAAAACTTGAAAAAAATAATTTCAGAGATAGATGAAGGAAAATATAAACCTAACTCATAACTTTAAATGTGAATGGATTAAACAATACAATAAAATGAAAAAAAAAGATTGGATAAGAAAACAAAACCCTACAATCTGTTACTTTAAAAAAAATACATTTAAAAAACAAGGAAATACACAAAATAAAACTGAGGGGATGGAAAAATTTACACTCATCAAGTGAACCCCAAAAAGCAAGAGTTGCTATCATGCTATTGGACAAAGAAAAATCAAGCACTTAGAAAATAAAAAGGGATAAACAAGAAAACTATAATATATTGAAAGGAACCATAGAGAACAAACCAACATCAGTAATGAACTTACATACTCCAAATGCCTTAGCATACAAATTTATAAAGGAAACATCATCTGAGCTTCAAGAAAAAATAGACAGTAATGGGCAGGTAGGTGGCACATGGATAGAGCACCAGCCCTGGAGTCAGGAGGACCTGAGTTCAAATCCGGCCTCAGACACATAACATTTACTAGCTGTGTGACCCTGGGCAAGTCCCTTAACCCCATTGCCTAGCCAAAAAAAAATAGACAGTAACACAACAGTGACAAAAGACTTCAATATTCTCTATCAGTTTTGGGTAAATCTAACAGAGAGATAAACAAAAGGGAAAATATGGGACTGAGCTAATTTCTGGAGAAACTAGAGTTAAAAGACTTATGGCATCTTCTAAACGGGACAGCAAAAGAACATATATATTTCTCTGTACCACATGGGACTTTTACAAAAACTGACCATGTACTGGGGCACAGATATATTGCAAACAAATGTAGAAAGGCAGAAATAGTCAATACATCCTTTACAGACTATAATGCA